GCAAGTGTCCCTGTTCTCCAATCAATTCTCTGAAATTGTAACAGATGAGTTGAAGGAGTCCCTGTACAAGTTTCTGTGTAATCATGGATGTGGACCAAAAATAATTATTAAGGGTCATTCTGAATTATTTTTAAAACTATAAAACAATTTTCAATTACAAGAACATTTTAAAAAAATATTTTAGTCAAAGGCTATGAACAAATAATCTTTCAAAAACTATTGCAAACTATTACCAACCATCTGGAAAATTGTTCCGAATCACTAATAATTAGCTTATTTTACAGATGAGAAAACTGAGGCAAACAAGGTTGAGTAACTTGCCCAGGGTCGCATACCTAGCAAGTGTCTGAGTCCGGATTTGAACTCAGGTCCTTCTGACTCCAGGGCCAGTGATCTGTCCACTGTGCCACCTAGCTGTCCCTCCCTTTGCTTTTTAAATGAATAATTTACAAAACTATTTTATTTTTACCAAAAAAGATACTTCACAGATAATTTGAGACTCCTTGTTCTTCTGTTTTAAAAAAGATAAGTTAGATTAGATTATGGATTATTAACTTTTTTTGTGTATCACAGGCCCTTTGGACAGTCTGGTGAAGCCTGTTGACTCCTTATCAGAATAATTTTTTAAATGCATAAAATAAAAATACATAGGATTAAAAAGGAAACTAATTATACTGAAATACAGTTATCAAAATATATTTTTTAAGTTCATGTATTCTAGGTGAAGAATCCTTGTATTAGTTCTCTAAGAGGTCCCATCTAATCCTAAATCCTCTGGTCCCATGTATATTCTAAGCAATTGATGGTAATTTGGGAATACGTTTTAATTTTACTATTAAAAAAATCAGACCTTAATTTTTTTCTATTTTATGTTACTTGGTCATGTTTAATAATTGAATCTAATAAAACATTTATTTATACAAGAAATTTCATAGGATCATTTATCATATATCACCTACCAATGTCAGTTGTCAAGAAAAAACACCTCTGAAGTTAGAATTGTGAACTTGACTCATTTCTTAGTCAAAAACTGTTGAAACTAAAAACGAATGTATTGTGTTTCCTGTGTTCCTAATAAGTTAGCACAAGCCCAAATTATTCATAGTTACATCCTTGTTACTGCTTTAAACTTCACTCACCATTAAAGAAATGGGCATATACATTGCAGCTAATCAGATGTTGAGATTGTGTGGTTTCCTTTCCTGGAACAAAAGAATCTTTCTTTCAAAGAGAGGAGACTAACAAACCCAGGAATTATATGAACACAATTACAAAACACTTTTCACACAAATAAAGTCAGATCTAAATAATTGGAAAAACGTAAGTTGCTCATAGGTAGGCCGAGCTAATATAATAAAAATGACAATTCTACCTAAGCTAATTTATTTATTCAATGCCATACCAATCAAACTACCAAAAAATTATTTTATAGAGTTAGAAAAAATAACAAGATTCATTTGGAATAACAGAAGGTCCAGAATATCAAGGGAACTAATGAAAAGAAATGCAGGGGAAGGTGGCCTAGCCATTCCAGATCTTAAATTGTATTATAAAGCAGCAATCATCAAAACTGCTTGGTACTGGTTAAGAAATAGAGTGGTGGATCAGTGGAATAGGTTAAGTATGCAAGACACAGTAGTGAATGACTATAGTAATCTACTCTTTGATAAACCCAAAGACCGCAGCTTGTGGGATAAGAACTCACTCTTTGACAAAAACTGCTGGGAAAACTGGAAAAGAGTATGGCAGAAACTAGGCGTAGATTAAAATCTCACACCATGTACCAAAATAAAGTCAAAATGGGTTCATGATTTAGATATAAAGGCTGATACTGTAAGCAAACTGGGAGAGCAAAGAATAATTTACATATCAGATCTATGGAGAACAGAAGAATTCATGACCAAACAGGAGATAGAGAACATTATGAGAAGCAAAATGGATAACTTTGATTACATTAAATTGAAAAGTTTTTGCACAAACAAAGCCAGTGCAAACCAAGATTAGAAGGAAGGTAGAAAATTGGGAAAGAATTTTTATAACCAGTCTCTCTGATAAGGGCCTCATTTCTAAAATATATAGAGAACTGAGTGAAATTTATAAGAATACAAGTCATTCCCCAATTGATAAATGGTCAAAGGATATGAGCAGGCAGTTCTCAGATGAAGAAATTAAAGCCATCTATAGTCATGTGAAAAAAATGCTCTAAATCACTATTGATTAGAGAAATGCAAATCAGAACAACTCTGAGGTACCACATCACTCCTATCAGAATGGCCAGCATGACAAAACAGGAAAATGATAAATGTTGGAGAAGATGTGGGAAAATTGGAACACTAATGCATTGTTGGTGGAGTTGTGAAATGATCCAACCATTTTGGAGAGCAATTTGGAACTGTGCCCAAAGGGCTATAAAAATGTGCATACCCTTTGACCCAGCAATAGCACTTCTAGGGCTATATCCTAAAGAGATCACACAAATGGGAAAAAAGAACTACACGTACAAAAATATTCATAGCAACTCTTTTTGTGGTGGCAAAGAATTGGAAATTGAGAGGATGCCCATCAATTAGGGAATGGCTGAGCAAGTTGTGGTATATGTGATGGAATACTATTGTGCTATAAGAAATGATGAACAGGCTGACTTCAGAAAAACCTGGAAAGACTTGTATGGTCTGATGCTGAGGGAAGTGAGCAGAACCAAGAGAACATTGTACACAATAGCAGCCACGTTGTGTGATGACTAATATTGATAACTTAACCCTTCCTGGCAATACAAGGATCTAAGACATCTCCAGAGACCTTGGGATGGAAAATGCTATCCACACCCAAAGAAAGAACTATGGAAGCCGAATTGTTATTTTTTTTCTCTTCTGTTGAGTTCTGTTTCCTCTTTCTGATGGTTCCTCCTATTGGTTTTAATTTCTACTTACAACATCACTAATGTGAAAATATGTTTAATATGAATGTAAATGTATAGCCTATATCAGATTGTGTGCCGTTGTGGGGAGGAAGGGGGAGAAAAATTTTAAACTCAAAAGCATATGGAAGTGATTATTGATAAATCAAAATAAATTAATTTAAAAATGCAAATCAAAACAACTCTGAGGTACCACATCACACCTATCAGATTAGCCAACGTGACAAAACAGGAAAATGATAAATGTTGGAGAAGATGTGGGAAAATTGGAACACTAATGCATTGTTGGTGGAGTTGTGAAATGATCCATCTATTTTGGAGAGCAATTTGGAACGATGCCCAAAGGGCTATAAAAATGTGCATACCTTTTGACCCAGCAATAGCACTTCTAAGGCTATATCCCAGAGAGATCGTACAAATGGGAAAAAGACTCACATGTACAAAAATATTTATAGCAGCTCTTTCTGTGGTGGCAAAGAATTGGAAATTGAGAGGATGCCCATCAATCGGGGAATGGCTGAACAAGTTGTGGCATATGAATGTAATGGAATACTATTGTGGTATAAGAAATGATGAACAGGCTGACTTCAGAAAAACCTGGAAAGACTTGTATGGTCTGATGCTGAGGGAAGTGAGCAGAACCAAGAGAACGTTGTACACAATAATAGCCACGTTGTGTGATGACTAATGTTGATTGACTTAACCCTTCCTCAGCAATACAAAGATCTAAGACATCTCCAAAGGCCTCATGGTGGAAAATGCTATCCACAAAGAAGAAAGAACTATGGAGTTTGAATGCAAATTGAAGGATACTATTTGCTGGGGTTTTTTTTCTTCCATTGTGTTTTGTTTCCTCTGTCTGGTGGTTTCTCCTATTGGCTCTAATTCTTACTTATAACATCACTAATGTGAAAATATATTTAATAAGAATACGTATGTATAGCCTATATCAGATTGTAGGCCATCTTGGGGAGGGAGGTGGAGAGGGAGAGGGAAAAAAATTTGAAGCTCAGAAGTGATTGTTGATAATTCAAAATAAATCAATTAAAAAAAAAAAGAATTGATGAGCAGGCAGACTTCAGAAAAACTTCATGCTGAGTAAGGTGAGCAGAACCAGGAGAATGTTGTACACAGTAACAGCCATGTTGTGCAGTGACTAACGTTGATAGACTTAGACGTTCTCAGCAATGCAAGGATCTAAGACATCTCCAAAGGCCTCATGATGGAAAATGCTATCCACATCCAAAGAAAGAACTATGGAGTTTGAATGCAGATCGAAGCATACTATTTGCTATTTTTTTCTTCTGTTTTGTTTTGTTTTCTCTTTCTTGTGGTTCCTCCTATTGGTTCTAATTCTTCCTTACAACACCACTAATGTGAAAATATGCTTAATAATAATGTATACGTATAGCCTATATCAGATTGCGTGCCATCTTGGGGAAGGAGGGGGGGAGGAAAATTTAAAACTTAAAAGCTTATGGAAGGATTGTTGATAAATTAAAATAAATTAATAAAAAAAAACAAAGAGGAGAGACTGTTCTATTGGGATGATTTGTCTGGAGGTTTTTAGAATGACAGGTTGACTTTGAGTTACCTATTGGACATGTGGTTTGAAATGTCCAATAGGCAGTTGGTGATATGGGATTGGCACAGATCCTAGGCTGGATGTATAGATACAGAAATCATCTATAGAGATAATAATTTAACCTGTAAGAGACTAGGAGATGAACAAGACAGATTTTGGAGAAAAAAGAAAAGAGCATCTAGGACAGTGCCTTTGAGAGATACAGACAAGTAATGGGTATAGCATGGTTGAAGATCCAGCAAGTGAAACTGAAAAGAAGACCTCAGACAGATAGGAGAAGAACCAAGAAAGTAAGAGAAAATATCCAGAAAAAAAAGTTGTTAAAAAGTATTTTTTAGTGAAATGTTTCAAATTTAGAAATCCCTTTTAAACCAGATGATTCTAGCATAGCATACCTGTAATACCAAAAAACAACATAAAATCTTACCTGAATCCTCAAATATTCTCTATTTAAGAAAAGATAATCATATATAATATATTTCTCTATTCCTTTTTTAGATAATGTATGCTGAATTTAAGCACAGTGCGATAGGAAGCTATCGTAAGCCTCCAGATAAAATAACTAACCCTTCATTTGCATACCATGAAGCAGCACCTCAAGATAATCTGCCTAAGAAGTTGGAGCCCGTTTCTATTCCAAACAGCCATGGTAAGATCAATGTAATTCTTCATTGTATATTATTATAATGCCTTATTTCTTTAATGAAATAAAACATCATCCATGCTTGTGATAAAGCAATGTTTCCAAATTCCTGACAGATATTATACTTAAATTCATTTAAGCACAAATTTCCCAAAATCATGTTATTCTGTATTTTTCATAGCATTTTATTTATGTGTTTTTAAATAACGAGTAACTATAATAATAAACAATGAATCATTTTTCTGTGATAGGGTTATACTGAAAGTTTCAGAAGTTTAATATAAAAGCAACATAAGAAATGCATGGTTTATCATTATTATTATTATAAATCAGTGTATTTTGACAGTGATTTAAAATCTTTCAATAAGCTGACTGATATTCTTTATCTTTCTTTAAAATACTTCCAATGTTCTTCAGAATCTTTGCTTATTATTATGGATGTGAATTTAAATTATAATAAATAAGAAATATTAAGTTTAGTGGTAATTACCAAGAAATGTAGTCAATCATGAATATTCAAATGCTAGAAAACACCAGTGAACATTATTGGGTAATATTCAAATAACATAACATTCGTATTTCCTAACAAGGTTAATAACAGTACATAGAATTGGATGTTGAAATTGCTAATTTTAGGACCCCCAAGATACAGAAGTAGGGGAGTTTGAATAGCAGAGGAAGGAGGAGTGGGAGAAGGTTGGGAGAAAAGGGTTAGTGAGCTTGTATTGGAGACAAGTTCCATGATTGGTTGCTGTAGGGACTTTAGAATATAACCTTCTTATTGGTTGATCACACACCTTTTGAGGTTAGTTTACCTCATCCTTGGGGTCATACTACTTTTGGACACCGCTGTTCTGGAAGGTAGAGATTATGTTTTGGTTTTGTTTTTCTTCTTAGAAACTCTGCTTTGGGAAAAGATTATATCATACCTATACAAATAAATCAGATATAGATTGGAGACATATTATGTATTATGTATGTATAAATGTAATTTATAAATTAGACAATATAATCTCTTGGCAGGAACACTGAATTTGGGGTCAGAACACCCAACATTGAGTCCTGAGTATGTCATAGAAGCTCTATGAATTTCTGAACTTCAGTTTCTTCATCTGTAAAATGGAGATGATAATTCCTAGACTATCTACCTCAAAGAAGGGTTATGAGGATAAAATGAAGTCATATATGTAAAGTGGGAAACTAAAAGACACATGGAAATGTGAACTGTTATTTTATTTTCAGTATAATATTTCTTCATAGAAGCAGCATGAAGTAATGAATAGAGAACTGACCTAGGAGGCAGGAAGACCCAAGTTCAAGTTTCACCTCTGACACATTCCAGTTGTCTTCCTTTGAAGCAAGTCACTTAACATCTCAATGTTCTAGGCACCTCTTTAAAACAATAAGTTGCAGGGGGCAACCAGGTGGTGCAGTAGATAGAGCACCAGCCCTGGAGTCAGGAGAACCTGAGTTCAAATCTGGCCTCAGACACATAGCACTCACTAGCTGTGTGACCCTGGGCAAGTCACTTAACCCCATTGTCTAACCCCCCCAAAAAAAACCATCAACAATAAGTTGCAAATAAAGGGCAGATTTGCATTGGTAGAGGAAGTTCCTCTGTGAATTTTGCATTCCAATGAAATCATAGTTCCAATTCCTATCCTCTATTTTTCCAATTCAACTTTTTATGTATCTACATAAACTTTCAGTTCTATGGAGAGAGAGAGAGGGAGAGGAAAGGAGGAAGAGAAAGAGAGTTATTTTCTAATCTAGAGAATAAAATAGTAGTTATTGGAAGATCATATGATGTGTTTATGGGCTGTGAACTTTCCTGAACTGAAATGAACAATATCTACCCCAAGGAGATCACTTTTAAATCAATCAGCAAGCACTTGGGAAAGGACACATTTGAATTATTCAAACTCTTGCCAATTTACCTTTGTAACATCTCTTAGATATGTCCCATTCTCTTGTCTGACACTGCCATCACTCTGGTGCAGACCCTCATTACCTCACCACTGGACTATTACAGTAACCTGCTTGTGGGTCTGCCTTTCTCAAGTCTCCTCTCATTCTATTCAATCACTAAAAGCTCAGGTCTTACCATGTCACCCCCTACACACACACACACACACACACACTCACACTCACACACACTCACACTCACTCTTAATAAACTCCAGTGGCTTTCCAATTGCCTCAAGGTTCAAATAAAAAAATTCTGTTTGGCATTCAAAGCCCTTTATAACCTAGTCCCCTTCTACGTTTCCAATCTTCTTACATCTTACTCCCCACCATATACTCTTTGATCTAGTGACACTGGTCACCTTCAATAAGTAAATATTTATTAAGCATCTACTGTGTACCAGGCACCATGCTAAGAGCTGGGGGATACAAAAGGAGGCAAAAGACAGTCTCTGCCCTAAGGGAGCTCACAGTCTAATAGAGGAAACAACATGCAAAGCAAGCTAGATATAGGATAAGGAGGGAATTGCAGGGGAGCACACTAGAATTAAGAGGAATTAGGAAAGGCTTTCTGTAAAAATTGGAAAGTTAAGAGCATTCCAGGCATGTGGGACAGCCAGAGAAAATGCCTAGAGCCAAGAGATGGAGGATTTTGTTCATAGGCAGGTAGGAGGCCAATGTCACTGGATCATGAGTACATGACAGGGAATAAAGCACAAGAATTCCTTGCTATTGTTCCCCATGCCTGGAATGCTCTCTCATCCTTTTGGTGCTAACTAAAATCTCATTTTCTACATTTTCTACAGGAAACTTTACCAACATAGCTTAATTGTAGTGACTTTCCTCTATTAATGATTTCCGTTTATCCTGTATGTAACTTGTTTGTACATATTTGTTTATTGCTTGTTGTTTCCGCCATTAGATTTTGACCTCCTTGAGGGCAGAGACTGTCTTTGACTTCTTTTTGTATCTCTACTGGTTAGCACAGTGCCTGGTAAATAGCAGCCACTTAAATTTTCATTGATTGATTGAAAAGTAAGTTTGTAGATTCTGAGCTAAGATTCTAAGTCTGTTATTTCAGCTTTTTCCTTCCTGGGTTTCATAGTATATTTTCCAAATTTGCTTATTTATGCAATTGTAAAGTAAGCCTTAAAATTACTAATATATGTGATCATAGAGATAAGTTTGTTACATATTGTTAAAAATAAGCAATTCACACTGTTTAGACTTGTTCATATTTTTAACTTGTTTGGGAGTTTAACGTTTGAAATCTTTTGTTAGTTTGATAATTACAAATAGTATGCCACTCTTCTTTTTTTAATAGCACAATACTGCTATTAAAGAATTCTCACTTATAGAGCTAAGTTTATGTTTTTTTCCCCAATAGCTCTTTTGTTGGCCCTGAAAACTCTTCAGGATAAGATTCATCGACTAGAGTTAGAGAGGACACAAGCTGAAGATAACCTGAATACCCTTTCCCAAGAAGCTGCATTGTATAAAAAAGCCTTGCAGAATGAAAATAATGAGCGAGATCTGGCACACCAGGAACTGATAAAGCAGAGAAAAGGTGAGGTAGTCCAGTAATTTTCAGAAACAGAAAGGTTATTATTATTTCACTGATTTTGTCTTACCCCCTCTTATCAACATTGATAATAGCCTGTGGCAGGTAAGTGACTTACTCAGTAATCACACTGCTAGTTAGTGGTAGAGGGAGAACTAAAATTTAGGAGTCTTAAATCCAATACTCTTTTCATTGTGCCAGATGTTATGTAGCATCATAGTTTTTTTGTGTCTATGTAGCTTAGTCCTGGGACCAGAGCCATTATTATCCCTATTTAGAATAATTAGTTTTGATCCATTCCATGTTCACAGGCTAGGAAGTAGCCTATAGCAGGCATGTAGGTATAGATCAAAAGTGGTATGGAGCAAAATAACCTGCAAATAATTGCAAATTAATCACATTACTAGAGAAACATCTTTTTAATGGTTCATAAGCAGCATCTTCATCATAATACACCAAGGACAACACATACTCCTACAATAAACTATACTACTTAATGGTTTCCATAGTACACTCAAGGAGTAATAATCCATTTCCTATTTAAGTCAGCCATTGTGCTGGCCTCACTGGTATAATTTTTATTTAAAATTACTATGACAGTCACATGATTCCACTTATAAGGAAAATTGAAATCTCTGAGGTTAAATGTGAGAATGGAGTACCAACTACTTATCTACATCTTTCTCTTTTTGATAGACATAAGTGCACAGCTCAGTGCTGCCCAGATTCGCTGTTCTATTCTAGAGAAACAACTGGAACTCACAAAGAAAATGGTTTTGAATGCAGAACAGGAAAAGAATTTTACCCTAGAACAACAACAGGTACATCTATTTTATATAAGCAGTGATAACAGCAAAAAGAGTTCAGACTCCTAAAACTATACCTCATTCCAGTGTCATTTTGGTACATTACCAGAGTCATGTAATGTTTTAAAAGTTATAAGGGATCTTAAATGCCATCTAATCCAACTCATACCTGAATGGAATTCCTACTATGATAACCCTACAAGTGGACTATCCAGCCTTAAACAAAGACCTACAGTGACAGGGAACCCACTATTTCTGAAGACATCCCAACCATACCTCCTCTCTCTCTTAGACTTGTGAAGTTTTTTTTTTCTTAATAACCAATGTCAGCCTTTACATTTATCTGTGTTAAATTATATCTTACTAAATTCAGCCTAATGTTGTAGCCTATCAAGATCTTTTTGGGTATCGGCCTGTCATCCAGGGTGTTAGCTTCCCCTCCCAAATTTGTGACATCTGCAAATTTGATGAGTATGCCATCTCTTCCTTTATCTATGTCATTGATAAAAGAGTTAAACATCACAGGGTCAAGGACACATCTTGGGGAGTACTCCACTGAAGCCCACTTACCCAGTTGACATTGAACCAGGAATATTTTTTTTTAGAGTCCAGTTCATACCAGCTCAACCAATTTTGAATCTACCTAGTTGTAATACCATTTAGTCCATCTTTTCCATAAGAAGAGTATAAGATATTTTATCAAATGCTATGCTAAAGTCTAAACAAACTATAATGTTCCTCTGATCTATAAGTTTAGTTGCCCTATCAAAAAAGTCCATAAGGCTAGTTTAGCATTTCATCTGTTACTTTTATTCACACTCTTTTGGGTTTACATAAGCTTCATTTCTCAATATATACCTCCTTCCTCTCTCTCCCAAAGAACTCTTCCTTATAACCAAGATTTTTACAGAGAAAAAAAATCTAGTTCAGCAAAACTAACCAAAATATCAGTCAAGTCTAACATTATACAACTACCCCTTCCACATCAAGGGGGTTAGAAGCATGGAACCTGCAATCTGGAAAATCCACATAAAATTTTTTCGCCCTCCCTTCATACCAAAGAAAATGTCTGAATTATTATGGTATTAAAAGATAAAATCTGTTGATATTATACAATACTATACATGTATTTTATGTGTTTCTGATTTTCCAAACTTTTTCTCTGTCATGTGGCCTTCACATGTTGTCTGTGGCTTCCCCAATACTCCTCAAAAATTCCTATTTAATTTCTTATGCCGACCCTTGATGTATTGAAACTGCAGCAGGGAAAGTCATGATGTGGAAGGGATAACTGTAAACAGTGTTTCGCTTCCTTAGTCCCTAGCTTCTGCAAAAAAAAAAAAAAAAAAAAGGAAAGGAGGGGCCAAGGTTGGTCAGTATAATTTCACAGCATTCAGATTTTATTGTTTTTATTTTTTGTTGTTGGGTTTATTTCCATTGTTGTGATCATTTTTGCAAATTGTTTTCCTGGTTCTGCTTACTTCATTTTGCCTCTGCTTATTTAAGCCTCCCCATGCTTCTCTTCATTCATTGTTTCTTACAGTACGTAATATTTATCACTATTCATATACCACAGTTTATTTATCCTTAGCCCTCAATCAAAATACATTTATGTTGTTTCCAACTCTGCTACTGCCTAGAGTAGTAAAAGTCTTGCTGGCTCTTTGTAGTCCCTTCTTTGTTATGCAGACTTTGTTTTCTTCCATGTTTTGGACATTGGAACTTTTGCCTTTCTCCTGTCCTACTGTACCTATTCTCCCACTTACTGTGGTCTGTCAAATAGATCTTTCAAACTGATAGTGTCTTAGGAATCACATTTACCAGTTCTTCCTGGAGATGTAGTTCATTGGGACCAGGTGGCGTGAATTTATTAAGAGTAACTAGGTGCTCTTACTTCCTCCTTATTTATCCTTGCTATAAACATTCTGTTAGCCACTTTTGTTCTTTTGTATCTAGTACAGAGAAAACAGAAGTAAAACAAGATTTGAGAAGGTTTGTGTTTTCATTGTTGTCAGGTTTCCCTGTCAAGTCCATCCCAAGTAGCAGCCCCTTGCATTTGTAGATCTTCTTTTCTTCAATATAGGTCCTTGGGTTTGGGTTCTTTGTTTGTTTGGTTTTTGTTTTTTTTGTCTTTTCTTGTCCTTATCATTAACCTCAGATCATTCTGAGCTTTAGTATTCTTGATACTGTTCTTATAGGACCAGCCTTGTTCTCAGTGCTTATTGATCCTTCCTTCCATCTTTTTTACTTTCTTTTTATGTCTATTTTATTCTGCACCTACCAGATACTAAAAGTAAAAAAAAAAAAGAGCATTTCTATATAAACAGTATTACAGAAAAGATTTTGTATGAATATGAGAATCAGTTTTATGCAGCTTGCTTTTTTAAATATTGATAACAGATTTACTGTTACTTTCCTTTTTTATTTATTTTTAGTTTTCAACAATCACTTCCATATGCTTTTGAGTTTTGAATTTTTCTCCCCCTCCTGCCCTACCTTCCTGCCCAAGACAGTGCGCAATCTAATATAGGCTATACATATACATTCCTATTAAACGTTAGTCATGTTGTAAGGAAGGATTAGAACCAATGGGAGGAACCACAAAAAAAGAGGAAACAAAACAAAACAGAGGGGAAATAATAGCAAATAGTATGTTTCGATCTGCATTCAAACTCCATAGTTTTTTCTCTGGATTTTCCATCATGAGACTTTTCTTGTTGCATGAACAAGACACTCCATCTCTTGGCTCCAGGCATTTTCTCTGGCTGTCCCCCATACCTGGAACACTCTCCCTCCTCTGCTCTGACTACTGACTTCCCTGACTTCCTTTATGTCCCAACTAAAATCTACTGGAAGCCTTTCCCAACTTAATTCTAGTACTTTCCCTCTTTAAATTATTTATTTATCTTGTCTATAGTGTTCTTTGTATCTGTTTGTTTGCATGTTTTCTCTCAGATTAGATTTTGAGCTCCATGAGGGCAAGGGCTGTCTTTTGCCTCTTTTTGTATCCCTACAGAGTAGGCTCCTTTAAGTAGTCTCCTAATATTTACTGATTGATTGATAGTAAGTGTTTGAGATAGGATTTAAACTAGATTCTTCCTTACTCAGTGCTCTCTCTACTGAACTGTTCAGCTGCCCCTCATTACTTCTTGCCTGGATTATTGCAGTTGTCTTCTAATTTGTCTCTCCTTTCTTTAATCCATCCTCCTCAAAGCCACCAAAGTGATTTGTATAAATCTGACCATACCACTCTCACTCAGTAAACTCCAGTGACTTTTACAATTTGGCCCCAACTTGCTTTTTCCACCTAATTGTCCTTTACTTTCCTTCTGGCACCCTAAGGGTCCCGCCTTCTTTCTGTTCCTCATGGAAGACACTCCATCTTCCCTCTCTGTGTCATTGTACTGGCTTCCTTCCATGCATGGAATACACTCCCACCTCACTCATTCTTCTTAAAATACTTTGTTTCTTTCAAAACTCTGCTTGTGCCACACATTCAACTTGAATCCTTTCCTGACTACCACCACCACCACCACCACCTATCCTCCCAGCTGCTAGTGTTCTCACTCACAAAATTGATCTTACTTATTTTGTAAGTATTGTGTGTGGGTGGGTGAATATAGGCCAAATATGGCCTGCTACCTGTTTTTGTTTTAAAAAAAAACCCACAAAAAAAAAACAGTCTTGGTTCAATGGCTGTATGATAACAAGCAGGCAGTTTGGCCCTAGGCCATAGTTTGCCAGCTCCTGGGCTAGAGAGAATAGGAGCTGCATGCAAAATCATCACACAGATGGAAACAAGATATGAGAGAAAACTGATTTACTATGAGGTGAAGAATAGGGAAAGATCAAACCATTAGAGGTGAAATGTATGGAAATGGGTAAATGATGATGTGACAAATAGAAATAGTTAAGTCAGAAGAAGGGGCAGATGTGGTAGGACAGAGAATAAATGTGTTTTTGACCAGGCTGATTTTAAGATACAAGTGGGATATCTGAGTAGAAGTGCCTGAGTTGCTAACTAAAGGATGGTGGGTCCTCTTATCTTCCTCTTAAGATGAGGAAAGTCCAAAAAGAAGATAGGGATGGGTAAAAAGTAGACATAAGGAATGGACCTCTCAAATGTCATGATTCAAACCTGTTTAAATCCAAGTTTAAAAACATATTCTTAAAACACATGAACTTTGAGCATAGGAGTAAACCCCAAATATTCCAAACATCTGACCTTATGGAAGAGAAAATTCTGCCTTCTGAATCCAACAGTCTTTCACATCACCTTCTTTCTTAAAATACTCCCTTATATGCATCCTTCTCTGACAACTATATGGAAGCTTTTTGGTTTAAGGGGAGGCAGTTTGGCTATTGTAAAGGACTGGGTGAATGAATGTTTGTGGCATCACCTAAGACATGAATTATTTTTATATAAATGATATTCACAGCAACATATCTATCTCTTATGAAAAGAAATGATTGTGTTTCCTGTGATAACATAGCACACCTTTTTGTGTGTTACATTTACTACAGTGAACACATGATTTTTAAAAACAAATTTTTATTGATATCTTTTATTTTTTACATCATCATAGTTTTCCCCAGTATCATTTCCCCACCCCTTCCCAGAGAGCCGTCCCATATAACAAATAGTAGTTTTAAAGGTGAAAAAGAAGAGGGAAAAAGTCAGCACAATCAGTTCATTGGAAAAGTCCAGAAACATATAGTGTACAACTGTGGTCCTCCCACCTCCACAAATGGGTGTTTGGGAGTCTCTTCTCATATCTCTTCTTTTAAGTCATACCTGATCTTTATAATTTTGCCACATTCACTTTTGATTTCTTTGTGTGGTTCTTTCCATTTACATTGTTGTAGTTATAGTACATTCGCTCATATTAGTTCATGTGGTTCTTTCTGTGCTTCTCTGCATTCACCACATTCATTATTACAATGTAGTAATGTAGTAATATTCTATTACGTTCATATGACACAGTTTGTTTAGCCATTCCCAAGTCAGTGTGCTCTGGCCCCTCCAAAATTGTAATCCCTGAACTATCACCATCAGTTACAAATTTCAGTTTTTGTTTTTATTTTTTCCAACTTCAGTGGGAAAAGGGTCAGGATCAGATGAAGCTGAATGAGAAACTTGAAAAACTTGAAGTCTTAGAAAAAGAATGTGTCAGGCTGACAACTACTCAGAAGACAGCTGAGGTAAGCTTCTGCTTGTTTCTTTGAAGCGTCAATGTGAAAAGGAAATCTTGGTGTTTAGCATAATTGGTATTGAAAGTAAATGTACAGTGATGATTATATTAAATTTATCAAACTCCGTTTGTAACTTGGTAAGCCACACATGAATTCTGTCTGCGAAGATAAAAGCTAATGTCCTCTGTGATTGCATGAGTGTGCAATTTTAATTTTGACATTTGTTCCTCCTAAGATGGCAAAGCATTTCCATTTGATAGCTAATGTGATTAAGCATTCTGAAGAGTGTTTACTATCTCTTTTTCACTGGAAGGAAAGTCATACCTATCAACATAATACTTCTCCCCATCTATCCAAATCCCACCCATCCTTCAAGATCCTGGTCAGGCCCTACTTTTCCTCCATGAAGACCTTCTCTAACCCTCATTGATCTCTTTCTTTTAAAAATGTTTATTATACTTAATTTGTTATCGTAGCATGCTATTATATACTATGTTTTCTTTACATACATCTTGCATTTTACTGCCTTTCCCCCTACTTTTCCCAATATTAATGTCTTCTCCATCAGTTAAAAGTTTTAACCTACCTTTTAAGTACAACTCAAATACTACCTCATTTATAAATCTTTGCCCTGGGATCTCTTTCCCACCTCCTCAAATTTCACAAAATCTCTCTTTTGTTATTTTTATGGTATGTTATTTGGTTTGAATGTAACTTGTACATGTTTCATATCCCCCTTGCTAGACTATAAGCTCCATAAGGGAAAGGATCATGTTTTGTATTAAAGTTTTTATCTCTTCGAATACCTACCTTCATATTTTAATATAGTAAGTGCTTATTAAGTGGTTGGTTTTCAACATTTTAATTATTTCATTGTTCTTAACTTTCATGTCTTTTATTCTTATCTCCCCACGTAAAAGGAAAGGACTCTATGTTATACTTCCCTTATATCCCCCACTGTGCCTAATACAATGCCAGGCATTGATAAATTGATTGTAATGGTTTGTTGGGGCCCTGCCTGAAACAGTGAGGTCCTAGGATAGTTAGACTTGATCAATTATTCATAGTTGGAGTACTCCGAAGATTTTCAGCACTATAGTTGTTAGCTGGAAATTAGTAAGTTAAAGCAAGTCTTTGAGTGTGTCTGTCTCTCTCTCTCTCTCTGCCCTTTGTTATCATTTATAATAGCAGGTAAAGAAGGCACAGGAACAACAGGAAGTAAGCTAACAAAAATAATCTTGGCAACTCGTCATTCCTTAACTTGTTATAATTATAAAGACCCCATATCCTTGGAAATTACTTAGTTTAATTTGAGTAAAGAACAAAAAATATGTGATTCTTGTGTATAACTCAGTCATTTTCTTTTACAGGAAAAGATTAAACATTTAGAGCAAAAACTTATTGAGGAAGAACATCAGCGTAAGCTAATTGAAGACAGTGCTGCTCAGGTAAAATAAACAGCTATACATCCTGACCCTCACACTTATACTATGTTTGATTATATACTTTCTGTTCCATTATTGAGATAAAATAAGAATACTTATTTCTTCCTCTTCTTTCAAAAATAATAGTTTGTGTAACAACAAAATAATCAACAAAGAATTTATAATGTAATACAAATTCTCAATTGAAGATATTACCCAGAACAGCTCTTAGGGTAGATAATTTTCATTTTATTTAACAAATAAATGTTAATAATAGTGTTTTGTCTTATAAGCTCAGAATGTTAGAGATTAACAAGAAATGTAATGTCTTTTTTTAAAGTAGTAAAGAATATCTTAGATACTTTTCATTCCTATTTCTAGAAGCAGTTAAATCATTTTGAGTTGTGATAAGGCAGTTTAATAGTATTCATTTTTATAAATATAAATGAGTATCTGATCTCATAATATTTTTGAAGAAACTCGTAGCAAATCATTATTATGATTGTTGATGCAGCTTCAAAGTGGACTTGAGATCAATAGAATTTTAATGTCTTCAGCTCTACCTTCACAACAAAACAAGAAAAAGAAATCTGCAAAGGTAACAGTATAAACATTTACCTAAAAAATGTAGGTGTGTAATTGGCAACATGCTAGTATTTGATGATAATCTATTGTTTCTCTGCTTATAGCTTTCAAGTCATGGGGTATTTTGTTTAATTAAGAAGTACATGATAAGCATTTAATTGTCATTTTTGACTGCTTAATTGAAGTTAAGAGAAAAAGTATAATTTCCTTTTATCATATGAATTTACGACGGCACTTTGCTTTTCCATTAGTATTCTCTCTGCAACTTTAATTAGGTCTAATGTGTCTATAACTCTGGTGTGAATGAATAATTATTTATTCTTTACTTGACTTCCCTCTTATTATAAGATTTTTTTTCAAAGAATTATAGTTCAGTACCTTATTGGATTTTTTTTCCCTTTTTTGAGCTTATTTTAACTGGTAATTTTTTTTTTTCTGACACAGAGGATACTTCTCCAACACACATTCAAACAAACTCCTAAAAGTACATTCACAAAAGATTGTTAAGCAAAATGGCCTCATAGAGTGAATGTGATTTACCTTTAATAATTTGCTGCCAACATTATCTATTGTATTCATCCTGAGGTTTATTGCCTTTTAGTGTTCTTTCCATTCAACAGATTTTATATGCCTACTATGTGCAAGACAAAAAACACTATGATATGGTAGTCAGAAAGCCAGCCTTGGAGTCTGCAATCAAGCAACAAGTATTCATTAAACACAAACCACGCTCTGGTATTGTTTTAGGTGTACCAGGTGCTAAAGATAGAAATACCCTGAATGAAACAATCTGTACCCACAATGAGCTTATATTCTAACTAGGGAGACAGTAAGTACATGTGTATGTATATAAAGAATAAATATAAAAAGAACACATGGTAATTTGAGAGGTTGGTTGAGAAGATAAGCAAAAACCTCATGTAGGAGGTGGTACTTGAGATGTATATGTAAGGAAGAAAAGAATTCTATGAGGTAAAGGTGAAAAGGTAGGTTCTTACAGGCATGAGGGTCAGCCATCACAAAGGCCCAGAGGCAGATGGATTGTCAGATGTAAGGTATACCAAAAGGGCCATCTTGGCAGGTTATCAGCATATAGGAGAGGAAATATATGAGCCTGGAAAGATAGATTGGTGATAGGTTATGAAGAGCTTTAAAAACTAAACAGAAGGGGCAGCTAGGTGGCGCAGTGGATAGAGCACTGGCCCTGGAGTCAGGAGGACCTGAGTTCAAATCCAGCCTCAGACACATAACACTTACTAGCTGTGTGACCCTGGGCAAGTCACTTAATCCCAACTGCCTCGCCAAAAAAAAACCAAAAACTAAACAGAAGAGTTTATATTTTTATTCATACTTTGGACCCTTCAGAGACTGTGGTGTTCCACAAGTCTCAGTCATATAGCATCATCAGGAGAATATTGCTATTAAAAAAGATAGAATTGTGTTTCAAAAAACAGCTTGGAATAGCTGAAAGTGGTAGCAATTTTCCAAATGCAGTTCATCTTACTGTACTACTATTCCATTCAAGACTCATTTCATTGTCTATTTGCCATTGTAGATCATTCTCATAAAGATTTTATAGAAATGAGGTCAGCATATAAGTCCATAATTATTCATGCCCTCTGAATCACCTTTTCATAGTTGTAATAACACCCCCTTTTTTAAAAAAATTATTCAATAACTTATTCTCTTTCAGATTAAAAACTGATTCCTCAATATCTTCAAAATAGTGTTGCCTCCAGCATGGATTTCTTCCATATATGCTTGGTCTGCTCCAGCTGATCTTCCTGTCTTAGTTTTCCATAGTGCCATTTCTAGTTCCTGATTTTTCATGTATTAGATGCCTGATGTAATAGCTCCATTGTCATCAGGTGGAAAAGTTTGTTTTAGAAATAATGTGAAAATTTCCTTTTTTCACTTCTTTGTTTTCTTCCAGTTTCACCCTTAAATGCTGTTGAAAAAATCTTGCTTAATTGGGCCTTGAACCAAGCTTTGTGCTCATTCCTTTTTCTTCTTCCCACTCAGCAGGGTTTTTATAAGGTAGCACTGTTCATTAGCTTCTATCTTCTTTGATAAGGCTTTAAAACTGAGTTCTATATTGAACAAGAATTTCCCTTGGCAAGAGGTTAGATGTTTGCTGGCTGCAGTGGTTACAATGCTTTTTGAACTCCTTGTTATGAGAGTTACTTTATACTGGTTAAAAAACTTCCATAAGGGGCAGCTAGGTGGCGCAGTGGATAGAGCACCGGCCCTGAAGTCAGGAGGACCTGAGTTCAAATCCGCCCTCAGACCAAACACTTAACACTTACTAGCTGTGTGACCCTGGGCAAGTCGCTTAACCCCAACTGCCTTAAAAAACAAACAAACAAACAACAAAAAAAAACTTCCATAAGAAATTATGATAGTCCATGCTGATGATAATAGCTAGCATTTATATAATGCCTTAAAATTTGCAAGTGTTTTACATATATTATCTGTGTTATTATTATTCCAGGTTTTCCAGATGCGGAAACTAGCTGAAGAGGAATCAAGTGACTTGCTCATAGTTAAATAGACACAATTCAAACTCAGGTCTTCCTAACTTGCAAACTTGGACTCTTTTTTTTTTTTTGGTATCAACAACTCATTTAATTATATCTGGTAGCAGTTCCATCAATTGCACACCATCTTTATGGTTTTGTCCTATTTGGTTAGTTTTTGTTTCTGTTTTTTATCTGCACCTTAACAAGTCAGTAGTTAATTCAGACAATTTAGAAATGATTCCTGCATTGGTAACTGGTTCTTTCCTATATTAAAGTTCATTCAGTTTCTTTTTGAAATGCTGTTTAGGGCTTGTCATATCTAACATATTCTGACTCTCTTCTTGAAGACCATATTTGTAATTTATAGGCATGAGACTAATGAGGAATCTATGAGCTTTTGATCTCTTTTGCTTCTTGATCTTTAACCAAATCTAATTGTTTTTACTTCCTTCCCTTTGTCTACTTTTGAGAATTTCTCTACCTCATCTTCCTCTGCACCTGATGTTGGTACAGAAGCTGAAATTATCTTCATGGTATTCTTTTTGCTTAGGCTCTTTTGTGAGTCCTGCAAAGCATCGTTACCAAGAGACCCATGAAATGATATCCCATTGCCTTTGGGTGCACAATGAAGTTAACTCCACCAATTCCTTTGTTTGCTTCTCCAGGGAAAACTTGTGAGCTACCATTTCATTGGCTGCAGCTGTTCTTTATCTCCTTGTTTCATTTATCCCAAGAAAGTCAATATTTTTTTTTTATTTTACTTTTTAGTGAGGCAATTGGGGTTAGGTAATTTGCCCAGGGTCACACAGCTAGTAAATGTTATGTGTCTGAGGCCGGATTTGAACTCAGGTCTTCCTGAATCCAGGGCCGGTGCTCTATCCACTGTGCCATCTAGTTGCCCCCAAGAAAGTCAATATTAATAGAAATCAGTTCTTTTAGTAGCATGTTGACTTCACTGGTTATTGTCAAAAATTTCACATTTAATTATGTTTGTAGACATCTAAAAACTGTGTGAGTCTTACCCTTTGTTCTTCCCACTTCACTGCCGCTGCTGAAGAGAGAGGACCTTGCAGGAGTGAGGGCCATTATTTTGTTTTTCTTTCTTGGTTACCATGGCCAAAGAAATAATCATTAATAGCTGTAACTAGCATTTACATAGTGCTTTAAGTTTTGCAGAGTGCTTTATATGTATTATTTTATTTGTTTCTCACAGTAACCCTGTGAAGTAGTTGCTATTATCCCCATATTACAGATGAGTAAACTGAGGGTAAGAAGTTAAGTGACATACAGGGTCACACAGCTAGTAAGCTACCTGAGCTAACATTTGCACTCATGTTCTCTTGACTTCAAATCGTGCGCTCCCTACACTGTACCATATTTCTGTTTATGAGCCTATTCATACTTACCTAAACATTCCTTCATGGGGCAGATACCGTTTTGTCACTGAGACTATACTTGAAGCATTTCCAGGATGAAAGAATCTATCAGAACTTATATTCCACTAACATGGCTTTAAAAAGTAACAAAATAAGATTAGAAATACTTTGCTGTCTTTTCTTTATGAAACAGGTATTTTGTGAGATGTTCTCTTGCCAAAGGGCATTGTCTCTGTGAGGGATAAAAGTTCTGTCAGTGAAATATACATAAGCAATATTTTTTATAAAGGATTCCTATTTATACTTTACTATTATTCTTCAGGAAAAAAAAAGTTCAAAGAGAGGACTTCAGCAGACTCATTCAAAGTTTGGTGCTATTGGAAAGGTAAGAAAATAATGAAGATAGTATTTTTTTTTTTAAAGACTGGCCTAATTTAACCAGATAAATGCTATTTTAAAGTATCAGTCATTTGCAATTGTCTTTAGCTCTGTTTTCCCTTTTAAGTCTGCCAATGAGAGTCATTTTGTGAATGCAAGCGTGCAAACCATCCTGAATATGATGAAACATGGCAACTCACCTTCCCTTCAGGCATACCCCGAAGCACCTGAACGCAGGGCTATTAGTAAAAGAACTGTCCGATGCAGACCCACCTCCTCTTACTCTAGTAAATCCACTTCAATTGGTGATGGTTTGACTGATCTAGTGATGGCTATGCAAGATGAACTGGACCAAATGAGTATGTAAGTATGTTCTGGAGTGTTTATTTTCTGAGAGAGAGGTGATAAAGTATTTAAATATTTTGCTTCCCTGAGGATAATGTTCCTTGTAGACTTCTTGCATTCCTTCTTTGGCCTTAATGTAGAATTTATTTGGCTTTAAAGAATTATTTATTTTGGAGAGTTACTTCAAAGATGTTATATCACAGAATCATAATGTTTTATTAGACTTATCTGACAGTAGCTTTCTTAAAATATAGATTGAATATGACTAAACATTTATCTTGTTTTTTCTTAAATGAATACCCATAGCTAGTCTAACATGTTTCTTTATTCCTGTTTTTTGGACTAATAGCTAAAATTTTCTTTATAAACATCAGGTTCTAGTACTTTATAATATTTTGTTTTATCCCATGAAAGACACTACAAGGAATACATCCCTTTTGGAACTGTGATTTCATTAGGCGCCCCAAAAGGCACATACTTGTTGTAGACCATGGTTCATCGGTTATCAGAGTGTCAGACTTGGAAGTACCCAGTGTACATAAGGTGCTATAATTGATAAATTTGTATCATGGTCCGGAATTGACACTCTTCCCAGGACTGGTCTACCGCAGCCCTTTGAGAGCTGGCAAGTCGTAAGCTTAGCTCTGTACTGAAGTTTAAAATAGAAACTAGTCCCTTTGTCAGCATTTTAAATCAAAGGTTAAAAGTGTTCTGGAATTTTCCTAAGCAAACAGTTCTAGAATTGAGAGCTTCGTTATCACTATATCAGGAATTCCTAATCTAAGGTTTTTTATGAAACATTTAAATGTAAAGGATTTTTTAAAGGCGGAGCAAAAGATTGATAAAACAGTAAAATTCAGAAACCTCAAAAGCCAAGCTTTGTACATTAGTATTAAAGAAACAATGCTAAAAAGAAAGTCTTGACTTTTCAAAATATTAGTATGTAGCTCTTGGGAGCTAAATGACTTTTGTGAAAATGTTTTGAGAAATATACCAAAAGCATATATCATGAGTATAGACATTCATAATTATTTGCTTTTCTCTCCTAGTGAACACCAAGAACTTTTGAAGCAAGTACAGGAAAGTCCAAGACTTTCAGTTAATGAAGAAATAGAATATGAACTGGAATGTTCAGCTAGAAAAATGGAAGTGAAAGGGGAGCAAATATGCAAACTGAAGAAATATCAAGATCATGTAAGTTTTTCTTCAATGGTTTTAGTAAAAAGTCTATGCTGGTAGATTCCATGATATTTCTGGTGCTAGCTATAAAGGTGCTATATCAGAAAGAAATGTCAAATAATATTCTTTAAAGAAAACTTGAGCAAAGGAGACATTTGCCATTATGAACTAACTAGATAAAAATCTATTAATTGCAATATTTAGAGGCAACAGGTAGTGAAAGCAGAAAAGATTCAACAGCTTTTTTTTATCTTTTTCTTTCATGGGAATTTAATACCCCCTATATGAAAATTTAAGATGATTTAAATCAGACTTATATTTTATATATAATATACCTTTTTTCAAGAAAGGTTTAATTACATATTCAATTTTGCCAAAGCCATATTAGGATAGAATTTATTTTCATGAGCACAAAGCTGGGAAACAATTTTTATAACCAGTGTCTCTGATAAAGGCCTCATTTCTAAAATATATAGAGAACTGAGTGAAATGTATAAGAATGCAAGTCATTCCCCAATTGATAAATGGTCAAAGAATATAAACAGGCAGTTTTCAGATCAAGAAATTAAAGCTAGTCATGTAAAAAAATCCTCTAAATCACTAATAATTAGAGAAATGCAAATCAAAACAACTCTGAGGTACCACATCACACCCATCACATTGGCTAACATGACAAAACAGGAAAATGATAAATGTTGGGGAAGATGTGGGGAAATTGGAACACTAATGTATTGTTGGTGTAGTTGTGAACTGATCCAACCATTTTGGAGAGCAATTTGGAACTATGCCCAAAGGGCTATAAAAATGTGTATACCCTTTGACCCAGCAATAGCACTCCTAGTGCTGTATCCCAAGGAGATCACAAAAACCAGAAAAGGACCCATATGTACAAAAATATTTGTAGCCACTCTCTTTGTGGTGGCCAAGAATTGGAAATTGAGGAGATGCCCATCATATTGTGGAATGGCTGAACTAATTGTGGTATATGAATGTAATGGAATACTATTGTGCTATAAGAAATGATGAGCAGGGCAGCTAGGTGGCGCAGTGGATAGAGCACCGGCCCTGGATTCAGGAGGACCTGAGTTCAAATCCGGCCTCAGACACATAACATTTACTAGCTCTGTGACCCTGGGCAAGTCACTTAACCCCATTGCCTAACCCCACCCCCCCCAAAAAAAGAGAAATGATGAGCAGGCGAACTTCAGAAAGACTTACATGAACTGATGCAGTGAAGTGAGCAGAACCAGAAGAACATTGTACACAGTAACAGCCACATTGTGTGATGACTGACTTTGATAGACTTAGCTTATCTTAGCCTTGCAAGGATCTAAGACACCTCCAAAAGACTCATGATGGAAAATGCTGTCCATATCTAGGGAAAGCACTACGGAGTCTGAATGCAGATGGAAGCATACTATTTGTATTCATTCTCTCTCTCTCTCTTTTTTTTGTTTTGCTTTTGTTTTTTTTTCTTTCTCATGGTTTCTCCCATTGGTTTTAATTCTTTTTTACAATATGACTAATGTGAAAATATTATTAATTATTAATAATTAATAATTAATTATTAATAATTAATAATAATTAATAATTAATGTCTATGTAGAGTCTGTATCAGATTGCACGCTGTCTTGGGGAGGGAGAAGGAGAAGGAGTGGGAGAAAATCTGGAACTCAGTATTATGGAGGTGAATGTTGAAAACTAAAACTAAATAAATAATTTTTTAAAAATTTATTAAATTACCCAGGAAAAAAAAAATAAAGTCCACATAACAAGATAGAAACAATTTATTTTCTTGGTCATCCTACTTGGCCTTTTAGGATTCTTCTCGCACTTTATTTTTCCTTCGTTCCTTCCATAAGTGTCCAGTGCCACTGCTTCCCTATTTATTTAGCTTCTGTATACCTAGATTCCCTATAAGGCTAAACCCAAGCTTTACTTCCCTGGGTAGTACACTGTTTCTAGAAACCCACCCCCACCAAAAAATACCAGTTATGTCCCCTTTTCTAAGAAAAATCTGACAAATATGTGCTAAGGACTTAATAACGGGTAAAATCTTCACGCATTTTTACTTCATGGTGTATTTGTATTTTAAGAGGGCTTCCGGAACACCTGGTGCTTACTCATGCTTTTCCCCAAAAGTTAAATGTCCTTCTCCCCATTTATCCAAATCCTGTCCAACCTATCCAAACACAAACCCAGACTCCTCAATGAAATGCTCCTTGGCTAATCTGTCCCACGTTGATGTCACATAGTGCTCACTACTTCCCTCACATAGTGCCACTTAGTCACTTTGATGGAGTCATAATTTTTTTGGTGTGTGAGGCTTCCTTTTCTGATATATATCACATTCTCTTTACATTGGGCAGTTCTTAACCATGTCCTTCCATAAATTCTCTGAATGAGATCCACCGTACATGCTGGAGGCCTTTGTCTTTTTTTTATTCCATATTTTAGAAATATCTGTGTACTTGAACTCTTTCCTCTATCTCTATCCTTGATCATCCCATTCCCTTTCTGGTCATACATGTCCTAGATAATAGCTCTTATATCATTTCTTATGAATTTAAGTCACTGTGTAGTCTGTATCTATCATGCATCTTTATATTACCCTTTTAACTATTTGTAATTTTGATTCTTTTTAGATCATACTTTGCAGCCAGATGGATTGCCAGGAGAAAATTGGACTTAATGAAATAGGCTTTTTGGGCACCTGACTGTTAGAGTTTGTTGAGTTTGCTCCAGTACAGTACCTGTCCAAGGCGCGCGCACACACACACACACACACACACACATATATATATATTTTTTTGGGGGGGGGGGTTCTCTAAGACTTTATTAAAGAGGTTGAAGTGCATCCTTTTGATTCTCATCCTCCTTTGAAGGCTGGCACAGAAGCCAGAGCAAGCTTTATAGTTAGTAATTGCCTAACTCCTTCCTTCTGGATCAGGATTGGTCTTAATCCTTCTGGGTTACAATCTTTCTTATGCGCCCCACCCTTAACATACATTATGTGCCTAGAATTGTGATGTCACTCCTCCCCCCCCCCCCATGAAGAAGTTAGCCTGTTTGTACTGATTTCTTATCTACTTATGTGGAAACTTAATTCTTTCATTTCTTACAATTCCTACCTTTTTTTTTTAAAGTAAAGATTTGGTTTCCACACCTTCCCAATTTCCTTATCCTCTAATCTCCTTAACATGATTTTGCATTCTCCATCACTGGGGAAAGTCTCATTGGTACTTTTAATCATCATCCATATATTGCCAGAGCCTGCCCTCTGAACTCCCACTGTGGGTCCTATTGGGATAATCTTTAGTGAGGGATGTCTCTATCAGTTGTTGTACCGGTCCCTTATTGCATGGAACTATACAACATCCTACAGCAATTAATACTCCTGAATGGATACAGCTATTCCTTTCCATTTGCCAAACCTAGATTCTAACCATCCCTTTAATCAGTTATCTATCCCAGAGTTCTCTGTCAACTCCTCAGCTAAAGTGGTTAAACCTTGCAATGCCTTTAATGATGGTTCTATCCGGGGCTGTACTGCTGGGCAACATTTCATCAAGGGATTTGGGGGACTTAAAATAACATGGGAGAAGGAAGGGAGGAATTGACCGATGCATTGACAAATTAAAAAGGGGTCAGTCCTCTTATTAAGTACTGAAACAGAGACCGAAAGGTAACAATAAATTGTCCATTTAAAGCTTCAGAAGTCTCTTCTCATACAGCTGTCCAACACTCTGGACATCATCTGGCGAAGTCCTCTGGTCCAAGTGTCTAGTCAAACAGTGTCCAACAGACTCTCTTCTTGTAGAGGTCCTCCTTCTTGTGTCCACTCTCCTACAAGATTGGTCTCAACACAGTTTTTAAATTACCTTGCCAATAACCAGGGCAAATAATGAAAGTTAACTCAACCCCCATGTCTCCACTATTACAAGGTCAAAACTGGAACCTTGGCCGATTATCATATTTTAAGAAACTCAAATTAGAAAAATTAGAACCTAGCCTTACATTCTGCATTATTTCTAGTTTTATACCTTGCATTAATTCAGTATTCATTCCTATTCATATTCCTCCATCAGGAGGATGAGATTCCACTAAGGAATTAATAACAGACTCCAATACATAGTAGTTAATTTAAAACCAGTGCATATCAAATACTAAAACAATCCCAACTTCTAGTCATGTACAAATAAATAATCCTTAATTAAAATGGATGCTTTTTTCAGAGGATTTACAATATAAGTCACAAACTATTCTTCTTTTAACATTAATTAATTGTATCAAACTGAGACAACTTACAACTTTAACATTAACTAAGTATTAACTAAGTAACAGAATAATATCCTAGTTCCACAATCTCCTGGCAAAGCACATATATTGATAGACTAACTTGACAGGTTACCTAAACAGCTCTATAAAAATCTGGATAATATGCATTTTTCATATATTTAACTTTTCCAGTCTAGATGATTAGACTGATGTTTTGCAATGGATCTCACTGAGGAAGATATGTAGTATTGCAGTATTCAGTGCAAATATCATTTGAGGCATCCTTGTGGTCAGTGGAGACCTCTTCCGTGAGATTGGCCTTACATAAACATACTTATTTTCCTGTTTTACATCCCACTTGATGTCAGTACTTAGCATATTATTGATCAAAGTTATCTCTGTAATTAAGTCTCTCACAGATGGGTATGATTTTAACATTTGCATGAGAGACATCTTATTTGAAAAGACCTTTTAAGGCTGTGTTTTGTTGTACCAAGTCAAAAGCTTTTGAAAAATCAATAAATGATCGACATTAGCTATATCTTCTATCTTCATCACCTCTCAGCTGTAGAGCCATAAATATATGGTCTGCTATAGAAAATCATTTGTGAAAGCCTGCCTGATTCCTTCTCATATTTTCATCAAAGTACCCTTAAAAATTACATAAGCTATTCTCATAAAGACTTTTTGAACATGACAAAACCTTGCATATGGTCCAGTAGCTGCTGATGTCTTCCCTGTTTCCTGGTGTAAGAGCATTTATTTTTAATATTTTCCATTCTTTTGGAATCTTACTGTCTTTGAAATATGTTAAAGATTGTTCCCCAAATCCCCTTAATAGCATGTCACTTCCAATATAAAGTTCTTCTACACTTTTTTTTTTTTGCCAGGAATAAGTGTTCTTAACAATTTCATCTTCTCTAGTAGTACCATTACCACTTCTTAGTGGTACTTCCGATAGTTACTAGGTTGTCATCTTCTAAATTTGGTGGTTTAGAGTAGAACTGTTATGGAGAGTTCCACTTGTTAATAATCAATTACATGGTGTTTTGTGGTGTTCTTTGTTTAATGTTTATATGTCTCAGCTCCCTTAATAAGATTGTCAGCAGCTTTTTTTCTATAGCTCACAGTACTAGGCAATATTCAACTAAACTATCATTATACTTTCTTTTTATTTCATATATTCACTTGGCAAAGAGAAAGCCTCACCTTACTATTTTAAGATTTCTCACTATCTTATTCATTATGGTTTTTTCCTTCCAAGGTAAATAAACTGCAACAAAAGTCTCAAAACTCAAAGAGTGAAGCATTCAGCATTGAACCAGAAGATGAAAACCATAAAAGAACAAAGAATGTGCCAGTCATGGTGGTCACCAGAAAGGGCACAAATAAGACTAAGTCTCCACAGAAAAACTGCAGTTGTCAAATGCCACAAAAGTGTTTCCAAAAGATCCAAATGACATTGAGAAAAGACGACATCAAGTGGGAACAGTAGAGCAATGGTGTAAAATTCAATTTCAATGAACCTTGCTAATCACTGGGAATTTTTAATTGTCTGAAATGATTTTAATTTAATGTAACTTTTAAGAATTTTCTAATTATGTTTCATGCCCATAAAGTATTAAATAATAGTATTTGAAAAAAAAATTAATGCTGAGTGACTTGCTAAGAGTTCCCCAGACTAAATGATTTCTTTCTCTTATTCATTGAAATATCATGGCATGATTTCATCGCATTTCAGAAGAATTATTTATTTTTGGACATGTCTAGAACTAAGTTTTAGAAACAGCATTGGCAAAATTCATTCATGAATATGAAATAAGGAACTTTAAAATCTCTGATATTGAGGGAAATGGAATTGATGCTTCTCATCAACTTCATATTAGGTCTATGAATTAATCTGTTTTTGGAGAAGAAGAAACTTTAGATTAAAAGTAATAACCTGAACACATCTTTACTTGATGAATCTGTTCATAACATAACAACATAACATACTTGAGCTTATATCATCCTACCTCCTTAATTTTGCTTATGATCTTGAAATACTCTTCTTTGATCTCTGACTGTCCAAATTCTACCCAGTCTTCAAAGCCCAACCCAAGTCACATCTTCTGCATGAAATCATTCCTGATCACTTCAGTGGTTTGAATCTCATTTTTGCCGTGTTGAGTACCTATTGTCCTAAATACCTTAGGTTAATCATGTAATATCCTTGAACCTGTTTCCTCATCTCCAAAATTAAAGGTTAGATAACCTATGAGGTTCCTTCTACCTCCAAACCTATGGTCTCTCCCTTCTTAAACTACTTACTCTCCCCAGTATCTTCAAAAATTGACAATTTCTAACCCCCAAATTGTCCAGCCTTGAGAAAGTATTATGATTCAAATATAGAAGCTTCCCTTCTCTATCTCTATTTTTATTTTATAAATATCTTTACTCTAATCCTCCTCTGCAATTTTTATTACTTTAATGTTTTATTTAACACTTAAGATGGAACATCAATATAACCAAATAAACTTGCTTGTAATTTATTTTATTTCAATGTGACAAGTATCCATTTTTAAGTCATTCCCTCTAAGTCTTTATCAGGATTTTTTTTGTCTAGTCCCACATAGTTTTCCTCTTATGGGAATACTTAGTAAGCACCCATTTCTTGTGCCTCTGATTTTCTTTTGTTTTGCATTATTTCATAAAGCAAAGGCAGCATTGTGTGGTGGATAGAGAGCCAGAAAGATCTGGGTTCAGGTCTCCTCTGACATATTCTGACTATGTCATTCAAGATAAATCACTTAATCTCTCAGTGTTCTAAGCAAACCTCTAAGACTATAAGTTGCAGAAAAGATGCTTTTGAATTTCCTCATCCAGGAGTTCCCTGTAAAATCATAAGTCTAGTCCCTATCCCTATTATTTCGTGAAAGTAATCATTTTACTCATTGTTCCTGTTCTTTCAAAATTTTCATTTTTAATGAATTCACATCCCCCTAGTACATTGACTGGAGTTATATGAGGGTCAGAACTAAGGAACTAGAGAAAGTGATTCCCAAGGAAATGTACCCAGAAGGAAAGAGGAAGATGAGTAAAATCCAGGGGAAGGAGGAAGTAGAATTCACTCTGGCTATGGCAAAAGAATTTCCTATACATAGCCATGAGAGCTAATTGAGAACAGAGAACTCTGTTATATGCGATTGCCCTGGGTAATATTTTCCTGTAGGAAGAAAAATAGGGTAGATTTTCTGTGTTTTGCAATAACTCTCAACAGGTAACAACCCTTGGAAGATCCAAGAGGCAACATGGCTTAGTGGCTAGAGCTTTGGACTTGGAGTCAGGAAGAACCAGGCTAGTCACTTAAACTCTCTAGCCTCAGTTTCCCCATCTATAAAATGAGATTGGATCTGATGACCTCTAAAGTTCTTTGCATCTCTAAGTCATCTTATGATCCTGTAATCCCTCAACTCCACTACACTCCAGCACAGCGTCTGGCACGCAGTAAGCATTTTATGAATCCTATTCTTACTGACATTGTCCATACCGGAGTGTTCTCTCTTCTCTTTTGCCTTCGTTTTTCCAAGGGCCCAGGCCTTTGTTTAAACTTTACTCATAGATTCATGGATTTAGAGCTGGGAGGGACCTCAGAAGTCATTTAGTCCAACCTTCTTTATTTTATAGATAAGAGAAGTGAGGTCAAAGAGACTGAGGCCCTAAGGGAGCATGTGGAATAAATGTTAATAAAGCCAAGACTTGAATCCTATTCCTCTGACTCCAGATACAGTGTTCTTTTCCACTGTGTGGCCCTGCCTCTCCAAATGGACCCGTGTGTACCTATGGTAGTTTTCAGTGTTTGTTTTCTGGTAGTGTGATATGGTTGAAGGACATAGGATTTTATTCTTAGCGAGGACGTTGAACTAGGTAGGTGTCACTTCCAACCACAGGCAGCATTTATGAAGCACTTTAAGGTCTTCCAAGTGCTTTACATTTGTTATTTCAGTTAAAAATAAATAACAAAAATTTTGAAAAGAAATAGAAGATCAGACTGCGTGTCCTAAAATATATATGTGTGTGTGTGTGTGTGTGTGTGTATGTATATATATATGTATGTATGTATGTTTATATATATATAATATGTTATTTCATTTGATCTCCCCAATAACCCTGTGAGGAAGGTGCTATTGTCATCCCCATTTTTACAGATGGTGAAAACTGAGGATGACCTGCCCAGTGCCCCACAGCCCATAAATTTCTGAAGCAGCAAGACCTGAGTTCAAATCCAACACTCTATTTACTATGCCATCCAACTACAACATTCCATGATCTGTGTATACTTATGGCAGTGTGAATTTGATTAATGTACAACAGTTCTAATCATAAAGTGCAGATCTACAAGTTTTTAGTAATAGCTTATGGATAAATGCAATTCTCTCTCTTCAACACAGGAAAACAGGGAAATGTTGGATCTTGTTGCTTTAGGGTCTTTTCCAGCTCTAATATTCTGTGGTCCTGTGGAAGTGGCCTATATATCTGAGAGTTACCTATCACTACCTCTGACTCCACCCTTGTGGCCAAGTAGCAAATTTCCTTCTCCACCCAAGAGCAGTAAAATGTTCAGTGTACAAGTGTTGCTATAGCAATTTCTCAGCTGGTCTTGTCTAGCCGCGTAAATTCACAAGTAGTTGGTGAGTGAACGAATTCACAGAATCTCCATTCACCTGAATAAAATGCTAGGTTGAGTTTAGGGTTGTTGGTTTTTTTTTTCCTTTCTTTTCTTTTCTCATCTTTTTCCCAAAGCAGATTAAAAAAAAAAGAAAAAAAAAACTTGTCAGCCCAAGGAAACCTCATCTTTGCTACTAAGACAAGAAAACTCCAATCTTTCAGGCAGCAGGTAATAGTGTATATTCTGATATTGGGATTTTAAAAATTGTACTTTTTGAATTGGATTATAAATCAGTCTTCAACGTCAACCCTTTTTATTGGTTTAGAACTTAAAGTTGGGGGGTCTTAGGCAACTATTCACTTTCTGCTTATCATGGAGGAGGGAGTAGGTATTTTACAGAATTCGTTGAATTTGGATGGGTTACTTGAATATTATTTTTGAGATCTTATAATTCTGTTTTCTTACTTTGAGAATATAATTTTAATTGAAGAGGGATTTGCCAGAAGTGGCTGGTAGTAAACCTTGATAAATTAAAACTGCTAAATAAGAAATGTTCCTGTGCTGTTATTTATTTGTTTGTTTTTGATGTGCTGGAAAAAGTCCAAAATGGGATTGGGGGAGAAAGAGGCATGGTGGCCATGAGAAACTAGGGAGTGCTCACCTTGGCCCAATATGTACCAGCTGCCATTGTTAATACAGTGTAAATAGACTACTAATGGATCTTCCAGGAACACTATTCAGCTGTAACTAAAGAAGTACCGTCTAAAGGCGACTAATAGCAGGTAAGCTGAGAAGATGGCAAATCTGCAAAGATACACTAGATGAATACCATCTCTTTGGAGCATAATAATTTCTATGAAATAAAAACTTTAGCATATAACTAGCATATAATGAAAATAAAAATAAAATTGCTAAAATTCAGTGAAGACCTTCCCCTCCATTTTCCTCACCTCCGCAGAAGATAAGCTAGTACTGCTGCCACCCAAGGGAGCTTCAACTCTTTGCTTTTTGTAACCCAGACTTCATTGCCCCATAGTCAAGTTCCCATCAAGCACCACACAAACTAGCTCAATCACCCAAACAGCCCATAATTGTCCTTCACCGTCTTTGCCATAGTATAACAGTTCTAGGTATGAAAGAAACCTTCCATACCCCACCTCCCCCCAAAATAATGAACTTTATGTGTACATACACATCACCTCTGTGCATTTTTAAATTTCCATTACTGAATATAAATTTTCATTACTAAATATATATGTATTCAACATTGCTTGAATTTTTTTTAGTTTTATGTGTATTTTTTAAACATCATGATTATTTTTCAATCCATCCTATCTCCTTATTAAATCTTCCCCTGTAAGGAAGATAGCGAAGCAAAGCTGACCTACTAGGTGTCACAGTGGATGACGTGCTAGGTCTGGAGTCAGGAAGACCAGATCACTTTGTGATCCTGGGCAAATCACTTAACTTCTGCTTCAGTTTCCTCAGCTGTGAAATGGGGATAATAATAGCACCTACCTCCTAAGGTTGCTGTGAGGATCACGTGAGATATTTGTAAAATGTTAAGCACAGTGCATGGTTAGGTGCTTAATTGATGCTTGTTCTCTCCTCCCCCCCCCCAGCCACCCTCACTACAGAATAATTTTGCATGCCACATTACTCAACCACAATCCCCCACCTCTCCTCCAAAGAGAATATTTACCTGCTTAGCACCAAGGTTGGTTATTATGATAGGAGTTTGACTAATTTTTAGTGTTATTTTCCTTTGCCTTTTTTGTAGTCAAGTATTTTTCTTTTGTTTGTTTATTCCACTCACCCTGCAACCATTCATACAAGTCTTCCTTAGTTTCTTGAACTCACACACAAATTTTTTTTTTCTTTTTGGTGAGGCAATTGGGGTTAAGTGACTTGCCCAGGGTCACACAGCTAGTGTCAAGTCTGTGGTCTGAGACTGTATTTGAACTCAGGTCCTCTTAATTCCAGGGCAGGTGCTCATCCACTGTACCACCTAGCTGCCCCCCCAAGAAATTTTAAAGTCATTTAGTCCAACCCTCTCATTCTTCAAAGTGAGGAAACAGTACCAGATAGGTTAAGTGATTTCCTAAAGGTCTTGCAATAAGTAGCAAAGCTGGGATTTGAAAATAGATTCTTTGACTCCAAATCCAGTGCTCTTTCCACCATACCATTATGTTTCTTATCAGATATGTGTTGTTTATCACACTGAATTATTCCAGGGATGGAGAACCTGTAGCCTCAAGGCCACAAGAGGAACTAGGTCCTCAAGTGTGGCCCTTTAACTGAATCCAAACTTCACAGAACAAATCCTTTTATTCCATTACATTCATATACCACAAAATTTCAGTCATTCCCCAATCGTTGGGCACTGTTTTGTTTCCAATTTTTTTCCTCCCACAAAAAAGTACTACTTGGAGTATTTCGGTAAATATGGGGCTTTTTTTTCCCCTATCTTTGAACTTTTGTGGGGTATACATTAATATGTTAAGTGCCATACATAAATACCTCACCAAAAAGGCATCTTCATTAAAGGGAAAAGGAATAAGCACCTACTATGTGCCAGGCATTGTGCTAAGCCCTTCAGAAATTACTATGTCATTTGATTAAATAAATTTTATTAAAGAGATTAACTATATAATGAACAGATTTGTGAATGCAGCTGTCATATAAGCTTTCTTGTTCCGTAAAATTCTTTCCAGCTACATCATCATAATAAGAATATAAGATATGACCAAAACATGGAAATTGCCTTGTTATAGAGAGCTCGCCATTATAATGGTATTTGTTAAATTTATTAATTTTTGCTACCCATAGTAGTAAAAGGGTTATTCATGTTCTTTTTCTCTAGTTGTTAGGCAAGGGTT